AGCAGATTGTGAGGGAGCAGGCAAAATGTTCCAAAATTTAGATGCTACAGCCACAAAAGCTCGATCACCACGTCTTAAGGCGAGTCTGAGGGAGAGACAACAAAGTTAGTGTATTTGATCAAAAAAAACTGAGCTGAGGAATATGGGTGAAGCAGTTCAGCCACATCAGAGGGACCCTGACCGTTTAATGCTCTGTGAGTGAGAACGAGAATATTGTACTGGATCCTAAACTCAACAGGAAGCCAGTGAAGGGTTTTTAGTGTAGGGGTGATATGAGAGTGTCTATTTGATATAGTTAGTAGGCCTGCAGCAGCATTCTGGACTGACTGCAGTCAAGCAAGAGCAGACATATTGAGTGAGGAGAAAAGTACATCACAGTTGTCTATGTGAGATGAGATAAAGGGGTGTATAATCATTTCCAGTTCAGCAGCTGAAACAACAGATCTCAGTTTACTCATATTTCTTAAATGGAACAAACAAAGATTTGGTCAGGTGCTTCACATGGGAATCAAATGACATCCATTAATAATAATAATAATAATAATAATCATACATTTTATTTAAAAGCGCCTTTCTCAACGCTCAAGGACACTTTACAGAGCATTAAAAACACAATTAAAGTCATAATTAAAATAAATAAAAACAACAGACAAGGGTGACAGAAAGTAAAAATGGATTTGGGCAATTAAAGGGAATATGCAATTTGGAACAGATGGGTTTTGAGTTGTGATTTGAAATGGGGTAGAGAGTCCATGTTTCTGAGGTCCGGGGGGAGAGAGTTCCAGAGTTTGGGAGCAGAGCGACTGAAAGCTCTGCTCCCCATGGTGCTGAGCCGGGCGGAGGGCACAGAGAGGTGGAGGGAGGAGGACGACCTGAGGGAGCGAGAGGGGGTGGCGATGTGGAGGAGATCAGACAGGTGGGGGGGGGCGAGGTTGTGAATGGCCTTGAATGTATACAGAAGGATTTTGTAATGGATTCTGAATTTGACTGGAAGCCAGTGAAGCTGCTGGAGGACAGGGGTGATGTGGTGAAAGGAGGGGGATCTGGTAATAATGCAGGCTGCAGAGTTTTGGACCAGTTGAAGCTTATGGAGGGATTTGTGAGGGGCACCAAGGAGGAGTGAGTTACAATAATCAGTGCAGGAGGTGACGAGGCTGTGGACCAGGATAGCCGTGGTGTGAGGGGTGAGGGAGGGGCAGAGACAGTTAATGTTTCGTAGGTGGAAATATGCAGACCGGGTGATGTTATTGATGTGTGAGTGGAAAGACAGTGAGCTGTCAAGGATGACATCCAGACTCTTAACTTGAGGGGAGGGGGACACTGTGGAACTGTCAATAGTGAGGGAGAAACTGTCAGTTTTGGATAAAGTGGATTTGGTACCGACCAGGAGGAGTTCTGTTTTATCAGAGTTTTATTAATCAAATATAACCCCTAAATTAAAAGCTTTGAGTGAGCAGCAGAGGAAAGAGGGCCGATACTTTGCATAAAGAGAGGGACCAACATCCAGAACCTCCGTCTTATCAGCACTGACCTGTAAAACATTTTCAGCGGTCCAGACACTGATCACATGAAGGCAGTCAAGGATCCTAGATAACCTGAAAGGCTCACTAGGTTTGTAGAAGAAGTGGAGCTGGATATCATCTGCATATAAATGATATGCAGTGTTCTGTTTTTTATTTGTCCCAACGGCAGTAAATATAGAGAGAATAACAGAGGCCCAAGAACCGAGCCCTGCGGGACACCACAGGACAGAGGAGAGGAATCAGATACAAAGTCTGCAATAGAGACAGAGCAACTCCTGTCAGTGAGATGGGATTAAACCAGTCTGATGCTTTGCCTGATAGGCCAATGCAATCACGCAACCACTTAATGAGGATTTGATGATCCACTGTGTCAAACGCAGAACTGAAATCCAGAAGCACTAACGCAGAACAGTCACCACCATCAAAGGACATTAAAATATCATTTGAAACTCTCAGAAGTAAAGTTTCAGTAAAGTGCTGTTTCCTAAACCCTGACTAAAACTTGTCGTGAATATTGTGTCTCTCCAACGAAGTTGTGAGTTGATTGGCAACAATCTTCTCTAACATTTTAGACAACAGTGGTTTAGAAATAGGTCTATAGTTCTTGAGCAGAGCAAGCTCTCTTTTCTTCAATATTGGCTGAAGAGCAGCTTGTTTAAAATAGGAACGGGCGCATCCTGTAGACAAGGAGGAGTTTATGTCTCATTGTGTCGTACGGATTAAGATAAGATAAGATAAGATAAGATAAGATAAGATACACCTTTTATTGATCCCATAATTGAGAAATTCCAGTGTTACAGCAGTCAAGGAGAAAGAGTCAGATTAAAGATTTCAAATTTAAACTTAAAAAACTTAAATAACTAGGCGTGCAAATAAGTACAAAAATCCAAGAGACGGCGATAAATAACAATAACAATAATAACAATAATAATAATAATAATGATAATAATTGAAATAATAGTAGGAAGTGGATAATAATGAGCAGCAGTGAACGAAAATGAGCAGTGGATAAAGGGAGCACATCTAGTGCAAGTGATTGTATGTGCAAAACAGCAGACAGCTGTGGTGTCCCTAAAGTGTCCATGGTGTCAATAAAGTGTCCATGGTGTCAATAAAGTGTCCATAAAGTGTCCATGGTGTCTATAAAGTGTCCACAGTGTCTATAAAGTGTCCATAGTGTCCATAAAGTGTCCATGGTGTCTATAAAGTGTCCATAGTGTCTATAAAGTGTCCATAAAGTGTCCATGGTGTCTATAAAGTGTCCATGGTGTCAGTAAAGTGTCCATGGTGTCAATAAAGTGTCCATGGTGTCCATAAAGTGTCCATGGTGCAGTTTACTGTGAGCAGTGCTGGTTATGTAGCCTGACAGCAGCAGGCAGGAAGGACCTACAATAGCGTTCCTTCACACACTTTGGGTGAATCAGTCTATCGCTGAAGGAGCTCTCCAGAGCTTTTATCTCCTCCTGCAGAGGATGGGAGTCATTAGTCCTCAGAGATGACAGCTTGGCTGTCGTCCTCCTTTCTCCCACCACCTGCACAGAGTCCAGAGAGCATCCCAGGACAGAGCTGGCCTTCTTGATCAGCTTGTCCAGTCTCTTCCTATCTGCAGCCGAGACACTGCTGCCCCAGCAGACCACTCCGTAAAAGATGGCTGATGCCACCACAGTGTCAAAGAAGGTCTTCAGGAGCGCCCCCTGCACTCCAAAAGACCTGAGCCGCCTCAGCAGGTAGAGTCTGCTTTGGCCTTTCCTGTACAGTGCTGTTATGTGATCAGTCCAGTCCAGTTTATTGTTAAGATGAACACCCAGGTACTTATAAGATGTCACCATCTCAATGTCCTCTCCCTGGATGTTCACTGGTGTTGGGGGGAGGAGTCTGCACCTGCGGAAATCCACCACCAGCTCTTTGGTTTTCACCACGTTGATCTGAAGGTGGCTCCTCAGGCACCAGTCCACAAAGTCCTGGTTCAGTTCTCTGTACTCCCTGTCGTCCCCATCTGTGATGAGGCCGACGATGGCAGAGTCGTCAGAGAACTTCTGCAGATGACAGGTGGGGGTGTCGTATGAAAAGTCTTCAGTGTAGAGGGTGAAGAGGAACGGTGCCAGCACTGTCCCCTGCGGGGCCCCCGTACTGCAGACAACCAAGTCTGATACACAATCCTGGGTCCTGACATACTGCGGCCAGTCCGTGAGGTAGTCCAGGATCCAGGATGTATGGTGATTAGCCACCCCTATGTGCTCCAGTTTGTCCCTCATTACTGTCAATTTATCATGCTGATCTGTTCTGTACGACATCTATTGCACGTCTGTCCGTCCTGGAAGAGGGATCCCTCCTCAGTTGCTCTTCCTGAGGTTTCTACCGTTTTTTTTCCCTGTTAAAGGGTTTTTTGGGGAGTTTTTCCTGATCAGCTGTGAGGGTCATAAGGACAGAGGGATGTTGTATGCTGTAAAGCCCTGTGAGGCAAATTGTGATTTGTGATATTGGGCTTTATAAATAAAATTGATTGATTGATTGATTGATTGACAATAGTAAGCACAGTGGGACCAATAATCAGCCAGACTTTTGAAAACAGAGATGATGGAATTATGTCCACAGGGGAAGAAGACAGCTTCATTTTACTGATCAAATCCATCAGGTGATGTAAACTGATGGATTGGAAAGTGTCCAGTCAGTGTGAGATGTAGAGAGAATAGCCATTACCATATAAGTGTTGTAACCAGACCTCATAATGGATCACCAATTGTCAGGAACTTGTGGTTCAAAGTATTAAAATGGCTATCAGAAATTATTACTAATTATTAATAATAATTATTTGTTATGTTAAATAATGTGACTTATTTTCCTTAAATCACCTCATGGGGCACCGTTCATGGAAAGGTAAAAATGATAAAACACGTTTGAAGGATTTTGCAGGTTTTTAACACAGTAGTTGAAGATTCATTCGCTCTTGTACAATATTAACAGACAGGAGGTTAGTATTTATTCAAATGAAATCAATTCACAATAGTATTCATAACAAAAGCAAGCAAAATCAACAAACGCACCACATATTTTTATAAACACTTTATCTGTATTTTTTCCAAATCGTCCTATGTAAGTGTGAAGAGGAAGGACATGGAAGACATTGATTCTTGGCTGATACAAATTACTCTGGTAGGGACAGTAGTGATAATACAGGAAGGAGTAGGCAGTTTCTTCACCACTGATTATGACCAGAGACAGACATCACACAGTCCTATAACCTGGATTTTACCCAAAAACCTGAAAGAACCTGAACTCAGCTGTGTGCTCATCAAGTGACTGGTTTATGAATCGCTCTATTGAGTTCAAAGATGGACACTGGTCTGATGATCAAAAGTATAAGTTCATCTCAGTTTGTTTTTATTTGTATTAAAACATTCAAAAGTTAACATAATGTTCAGTAAAATTTAAGTCTTCTCTTCTAGTCCTGGACCTGAACCTAGCTGTGTGTCCATCAGAAGTGACTGGTCTATGGAGAGACCTATTGATTTCAAAGGTGGACACCAGTCAACTGACAAAAGGTAAGAATGTAAAATGTTTGTGTCTTTTACCGTCAATCTCTTCTGAGATGAAGTTTGATGTTTTTGCCGGCATTACTTCATGTTTTTTACTCTTTACTTTTTTCAAGTCTCACTTAAGTGTAAGCACGGGGGAACCGGATAGCCCAGGAAGATATTGATTTTTGGCTGAGACACAGGACTCAGGTCTAAAATCTAGGAACAGTATTGATAGGTAAGGCAGGACTAGGCCATTTCTTTACCATTCTCTATGATGAGAGAAAGGTGTCAAATACTCAAGGAGGATTTGCAGGTATCAGTGAGGGTCACACCACCAGGATGGTAAGGATAAGGCACCATGGATCATGGAGGAGCTGGGAGAATGTGCTGGAGCAAAAGATCTTAAGGTCCAACATCTGGCAGGCATAACCCCAATGCAGGTTCATGATTGATGATGAACACATCCTGAAAAGCTGCCCAAAGGTCTTGAGAGAAGGCTACCCAGACCAGTTGTTGAAGGTAGTGGCAGAGAACATTGCATTGGCCATCAACAACAGCGAGTATTTCTGCATGACATAATCCTGCTATCAGAAACCTCACAGCGGGTGATAATGTTTAAGGTGAATGTGTCCTGGAAAGAAAAGAGAGGTTCACCATGTTATTCTATCTGGATTCATCATGTTCACTTGAGCAGCTTTAAAATAAACATGAGAAAACATGTCCAATAAGCTCAGTCCTTTTCATAATGACTTTTGTGCCTTCCTTTGTTCATCAGACCAAAGAAAAGTGAAATGAATTCATTCTCCCACAGGCCTTTACTGTGTCACACCTCAGTGTGAAATTCTGCCCATGGAGCCAGTCTGCAAATATGATTGGTGAAGTGTGGCATGTGACCCCCTGGAATTTCACCAGGCCTACAAACATCAGCCTCTTAGCTTGGTCCTGCTCTTTTTCTCTTGGGACCCTCAACAAGGTAGGGCTGTGCAGCTGGAGCTGCTACACCCTCCCCCACTCTTTCTCACATTTCTCCTGCTATCAACAGGAAAGATTCTCTGAATGTGACCCAAAAACTGAAGAAACCAGAGAACTTAGTGCTCCAGGCAGACAAAAAGTTTGCAAGCTAACGTTTTCCTGCAAGAAGGAGAACAAAACTGAGTTAGCACAGAACAGCTAACTCTGTACGGACACAAAAAGCGGCCAGCCTCCTCTTAACTGCACCATTGGAACACAGCACAGCAAAAACTGCACTGGCACCATAAGCCCTCTAAGCCAGGCTCATCCACATCGGACAGTCTCCAAGCTAACAAGAAGTACAACCAAGCGACTCTCAGTTCGTAGACTGGGAATGTAACAACTGGGCATTGTATTAGTACGGCAGCACAGGCAAAGCAAGACTGCTTAACTTTTGTCAGTTGATTTGATGCTATTCAATGAGTTATTGTTGTGATACCTTTGTAGTAAGGTTTTTGAGCAGTTAGCTTCGCTAAAGCTAAGTTGATACAAGTTGGCTCATGCTTCACACAGACTGAATCTTGTGTGCAACGAAACATCCCTTTGTACTAACCCGGCACCTTTTCATATAACATAGATCACACACACACACAAACTTTACACCCAGCTACACATGCAGAGGGAACTTAAGCATCCATTCTCACATGTTCCTTAGTTCTGATTGTCCACATATGGTGAGCCAGAAGCTCTGCCACTGTGATTTGGCCATCTTCTTTTGTAGTTTTTAGACAATGTCTAAGGCCACATAGGCAGCCATTTTGTTCTGCAGGCCTCTGCAGGTCTGTTTAATATTGCACAAGAGTGAATGAATAGCCAGCCAATCAGTCAGCCAATGAGTAACCAATGCTATGTCAAGAACTCCAGAACCATTCTATCTTTGCTATA